ATCAATTTTCGACGCAAACAAACCCATGTGAATGTGGTCCCTTATTTGAATGAGTGAAGTGGATTATACCACCATAATACCCTTCACTCATTCAAATGGTTGCATATCCCCATGCACTCCCTAACCCATGTGAATGTGGTCCCTATTTAAATGAGTGGACTGGAATATGCCACCTCACTACCAAGCACAAATTTTGTTCTTGGTACCAAGCATGCCCATATCTCTCTTTCTACACACACACACACACACACACACTTAAGTTTTTAGGAGCTTTGCTCATATAGAAAGAGTAAAACTTCGATAAACTTAAGATATATATACACGCGCACAAACACACACACTTAAGTTTTTAGGAGCTTTACTCATATAGAGAGAGTAAAACTCCTATAAACTTAAGATACACACACACACACACACACTTAAGTTTTTAGGAGCTCTACTCATATGGAGAGAGTAGAGAGTAAAACTCCTATAAACTTATATATATATATATATATATATATATATATATATATATATATATATATATATATATATATATATATATATATATATATATATATATATATATATATATATATATATATATATATATATATATATATATATATATATATATATATATATATATATATATATATATATATATATATATATATATATATATATATATATATATATATATATATATATATATATATATATATATATATATATATATATATATATATATATATATATATATATATATATATATATATATATATATATATATATATATATATATATATATATATATATATATATATATATATATATATATATATATATATATATATATATATATATATATATATATATATATATATATATATATATATATATATATATATATATATATATATATATATATATATATATATATATATATATATATATATATATATATATATATATATATATATATATATATATATATATATATATATATATATATATATATATATATATATATATATATATATATATATATATATATATATATATATATATATATATATATATATATATATATATATATATATATATATATATATATATATATATATATATATATATATATATATATATATATATATATATATATATATATATATATATATATATATATATATATATATATATATATATATATATATATATATATATATATATATATATATATATATATATATATATATATATATATATATATATATATATATATATATATATATATATATATATATATATATATATATATATATATATATATATATATATATATATATATATATATATATATATATATATATATATATATATATATATATATATATATATATATATATATATATATATATATATATATATATATATATATATATATATATATATATATATATATATATATATATATATATATATATATATATATATATATATATATATATATATATATATATATGTGTGTGTGTGTGTGTGTGTGTGTGATAATCTCTAAAAATTAAGAATACATGTGCATCTTCAGATACAAGAGGAAAATACACTACACTTTTATGAATGCATTTTTTTTACAAAAAAATAGGGCAAGATACCCTATTCAGAAATACATATTATAAATAACCTCAAATAGGTCTAAAGGACTAAAAAAAGATAGATAGACAAAATACACTGCATCCATGGATGAAGAGCAGTCCTTGACGTCATTTACCATAGCGACTATAGATTCGCTATTGCAAATTTTCATAGTAGTTAGCGCTTAAAGGAGGGTAGAACAACTTGCATATAATTTTAACTGTCTGGTCTAGTTCAAGCATAGAAAACTTAACAAAAAATAGAGTTTAAGCATCACTCAAAATAGATTGGATCATGCTATTTCCACCGAAAAGATAAGAGCAAAAGGATGTTGATCCCTAGTAATTAGAAATCACTTGCTACTATAGTCTCATATTCATCTTGTAAGAGATGCTTAATTCTCCTCTCTCTGATTGCAACCTTGATCTATCTGACATTCTTCTTTGTTGAGTTCCCTATCCAGAATAAGATGAAGTGTGCCACAATAGATGCAATCTTTTCAGCGGGAACGAAAATCTAATTAAAATGAATGTTAATGTTATATATAAGTGTAGCATGAAATTTTTTTACGTGCGCCATAAAGTTCAAACCATCAATTGAATAATCTTTGTATTTTAGGTGTATGAATTTTGGACTTAATTGGAGTAAGTCATCCATTCAAGAATACTAAATCCAGCGACACATTTGTCAATGTTATTTTTTTAATTATAATGGAGAGTTAATTTATGAATTAAGGGTCAATTTTGTAATGCTAGAGCTGATAATAAATTGCTTGTATAAGTTGCCTATAAAGTAGCTTATATAAGTTGCTGAAATAGCTGTTTGGTAATCATAGATTCCAAAAGCAATTTAGGTGTTTAGTAAAACCGTGCTTAAAGATTATTGTCAAAAGATAGAGGTTGTATATGGTATATAAAAAATAGAAGTTGCTTTTAAAAGTATTCTGAGGTTGCTTCCAAAAGCACTCCCTTCAAAGCAAAAACAATTTCCATAAGCATGTCAAAAAAATTCACCAAACACCAATATTGACAGCTTCTCAAAAAAATTAGTGGAAGCACCCTAAAAAAAGAAATACCTAACTAGTCCTAAGATCCATATCCAAGAAATGCATATAAATTATTATATTTTGTCCTTTATATTAGTGTATCTCTATATATGATCTTTTCTTCTTAAGAAGGAGACAGACTTGATTTGCTAAACAACATAATCTGTACCACCTTTCTAGCATCCTTTATGGATGCTGTTTTTGCAATCAATCATAATGCAATCCATAAGGTCTATCACTAAACTCTCAACTTGCAGGGCAAGTTGGCTTTTGAGAATCAAATAAGTAGGTATGAAGAGATTATGGTCAAACCTCATAAATAATAAAAGAGGGGAAAACATGTGCATTTATTTGATCTGTCTGCAGGTCATGCACACGTTTAAGACCATTTCAAATGGTTCTTAAGAGCTAAATTTGTTTAGAAAGTACTGTTATCTGTTAATATGCATGGTTCTCAGATTAAGTTTTTCTAGATAAATTAAGCAATTTTCTAAAACTACTAATTTGAAATAAAACAAGAATAAAATATCTTACTGTAAAGTAGCAGAATTTGCATAATTAAAAAACAAATATATCAAGTTGAGTGGTACCAATGCAAAAAAGACAGGTAGAGGGTAGTTAGCTGATGGTCACCATACGAGATGGCCCTGTCCTAGTCAGCACTATCAACAACAAAATTCAGGGGGGATGAACTCAACAATGCCCTATTGTCCACAATCATGTGATTCCTTCATCAACTTGCACTTTGGACCCTACCCTTACCCATACCCACATACACAATCCCTCTCCCCCTTCCCATGAATCTTCTTCCCCTCTCTCCTCACAAGTTGACCCGCACCAAAAATCATAAATGCTTCAACTAAATTATAATAACACACATTGACATATTTAAATAATATTCTACGGACATGTACAACTAATATATAGTATTTACAGAAATGGGTATAACAGAATTGAAAATCTTACAAATAGTCAGATAATAGTCAGATATCATTCTCGTTTAAGATTAATCTGCAGATAATCAATTTAGAGAAATTACTCTTCCTATATTGTAATTTGTTACAAGTCTTGTATAATAAATTGCAATTGATGAACTATACGATAATGATTAATTAGGGACTTGGTTTGCTAAAAAAAATAAACAGTAGCAAATATTGCAGCAACAACTATTACATGCAACATTTACTGTATGAAATCAGCTTCAAATTTATTGTTTGGATATCTGTAATTTTAAGGAAACTTTGGTGTAGATTATTTTTTTGTTGGATTTATAAAGATTTTTTGATGAGTTGGAAACACTTTTATTTGTCAATTGTCTTTTGCTTAAGTTTGCACATTTTCCTCTGACCAAATTGGCCGTAACGTTTGTTGCAAGTTTTTTTTAAAGAAAATGCAAGTCCATTTACCTTTCCTAATTATAAAATTGTAAACCAAATAATGTATTTACAAATCTGGTTGCTCTCGTTACATTTACAGCTCTATTTCCATCCAAACCAAACGGACCTGAGAGTGTATTTCATTTGCAAACCTATTCTATCCAACCATATAGCCCCGAGAGTGTATTTCTTTTCTGCTAACCATCAACAGAGGAAATATCATTTTACGAAATTGAACATGACGACAAGAGTAATGCGATAGTATTCTGAAGAAATTTGAGATGAGAGCTGCGTTGATGTTATTTGTTAGAGATCCTCTCGGGTCCCCATCGCATCAAAACTCTTGAAATTGTAATGATTTGTTATTTTTTTCACTCTTAGGCCCCGTGTGGCAAAGGGTTAAGTAAGAGGGGTTAAAGAGAAGCATTAATATACTTAGCCCATTCGATAATCTGAAGGACTAAATTATTAACCCGTTAAATAAGTTTTATTTTAGCCATTGTGATCAGTTTTAGTGTTTGGGAATAACAATAATTTTGACTATTTTCTTTATAATTAGAAGGGTTAACTCTTAATCATTCTAAATAGGAGTATTAGTAAAACCCTCATTTTGAAGGGTTAACTCATTTTAATCCCTCTAGAGGGGTTAGCTTAACCCTTCTATATTTTTTATGTTTGGCAAATTCTGAAGGGTTAACTCATTTTAACCATTGTATAGATTTTTTTATGTTTGACGGGTTAAAAAGGGGTTAAGTCTCCTTAACCCCTCACTCAACCATTTGTCAAACGGTACCTAAAACATTTTTGCAGCTTGCGGTTAGGATAAAGATAAATGATTATAATTGTACTCCACATTATTGACGTGTTTCCATTTCCATCTCCCTATAAATATTTCAACACACAACACCAACCCCTTCTCATACCTATCCAATCCTCAGATCCAACAACCCATTCCATCCTCAATGACATCAAATAACACGGACAGTACCAGCTCCCTCATATACTCCTCCTCCTCCACCGCCTCCTTCACCCAGCCCACTTCCCCCCTCCTCTCCGCGCGCTTGAGCAGCGGCGACACGTCGTCTCTCGACGCCGCCATCGACTCCGCAAAAGCAACCGTCGAGTCCCGCAAGCTCCCGTCCTCCCAATACAAAGGGCGTCGTCCGCAGCCCCAACGGCCGCTGGGCGCCTTCCCAGTCTAACGAGAAGCACCGCCGGCGTCTGGCTCGCACCTTCGACAACGAGCCCGACGCCGCCGAGGCCTACGACGTCGCCGCCTGCCGCTTCCGCGGCGCCGCGACGCGTCACCACTTCGGCCCCGTCGACGTACGAGCCCCAGCTCGACTTCACTCTCCTCCCGCCTCAGAGTCCGCGAGGATCGCGACATGCTACGCAACGCACACCTACTACGCCGAAGCTCAAGCAGTAGCCGCCAGCGTCCTTCTAATCCAGAATGGAGAAAGGCCCTGAAGAGGTCAAAGGCCGACGCTTGTCGGGGAGCGCCCGGCGACCGGCGGAGCCGCTCTTCGAGAAGACCGTGACGCCCAGCGACGTCGGGAAACTGAACAGGCTGGTCATACCGAAGCAGCATGCCGAAAAGCACTTCCCGCTGAAGTCGGGGAGTCTGCTCCTGAGCTTTGAGGATGAATGCGGGAAGGTGTGGAGATTTAGGTACTCGTATTGGAACAGCAGCCAGAGCTACGTGCTGACGAAAGGATGGAGCAGGTTTGTGAAGGAGAAGGGGCTTAAAGCCGGAGGTGTCGTGGTTTTTCGCAGATCGATTGGATCGGAGAAGCAGTTGTATATTGAGTGCAAGGCGGAGAAGCCAGTTCAGGTGATCAGATTGTTTGGGGTTAATATGTTTGAGGTCCCGGTGAAGAGGAAGGAGACGGAGCTGTTCTCGGTACTGGAGGAGGAGAGAGCACTACTCAAGAGGCGGTGCTTGTAGCTAGCCTTTTTTTTTTGCCCCCCTTTTTATTTTGATGTTTGATCTTTGTTAGTGTAAATTGTGTTATAGTAGGAGAAAGTTGAAGGTGATGGAAAATTTAGCTAATCATAGAATTTTTTTTTGATAATGAAGACTTTGTTGTGTTGATATAGAAATAAAAATGCAAAATGATGAACTTTACTGATAATATATGTTCGTTGCTGAGCACGGACAAAGAGAACTTGTTGAAAAGTATATTGTTTCCTAACCCTTATCCTTTTGAAGTTTCTTTTTTATAGACTATGATGAACTTTGGGCATGGAGGTTTGAAGACAAAATTGGACCTAGATTAAGTTTAAGCTGTCTGATTTGAAATCATTCTGTTTATGTAATTCATTACTCTTTTAATACCTTTCTAATATTCGAGCACTTAAAAGATAAATACTCCAAATCAATCTTTCTCTTATTAATTTGGGAATATAATTAAGTATTCACTTACATTACACAATCAGGTTCATTGATGAACCTCAAAATTTTAATATTCATCCATGACTTGGCCAACATCCACAGAGTTCTTGAAGCCTAACAGAAAAGAGTAAGATACTAAGATTTTAAACATACAATATCAGCCATTATGACTAAGAAATATCTCAATCCTAATTGTTTATTTAAATTTATTACTCTATTGATTCTTAAAGTGTGCTATTGGGGCAAACCTGGGACCCAAATAGAGCAGGATCGTAGCAATAGTACTGAAAAATAGAGATAAAAAAGATGGACACACAGATATATGTGGTTCGGCACAAAATTGCATACGTCCACGTGTAAGGATAGAAGAGTCCACTATGAGAAGAAAACACTGGAGTTGCAATCTCTCTTTACAAGGAGATACTCTCTCTATTTTCTCTCTCTCACTCTTTTATATAAGAGTTGTTTCTGGGATGAGTTTTTTCTTAAGGATTTGGAGCCTATTTATAGTGTTTAGAAGAACATTATGCATAATAAAATATTAATATTGCACTGTGCATCTTTAAATTTTTTCAAAATTCCCAGCTTCTTTCGGCACCGAATTCCGCATTCTTTGACATTAGCAAACAGTAGGGCCCACTCCATTCAAAAATTACGGTAGAGCTTTGACAATCTCCCATGAATATTTGATTGAGTATCAATCATATCTTTACATCATTCTTTCTATCTTGTCATCTGCATGTTGCTTTACGTCTCCGTCAGACCACAAGAGGATCGACACCAAATAAATTTGTCAGTACTGACTGCTTTTGTCAAAAAATCTGCTAGGTTATCTTCGGTGTGAATTTTCTGCATATCCACTGTTCATTCTTCCACTTTCTCACGAACGAAATGGTATTGAACTCGAATGTGTTTGGTCTTTGAATGGAAGGCTGGATTTCTTGCCAAATGCAAAGCACTCTGACTGTCACAAAATAAAGATATCTTCTTTTGTTCATAGCCGATCGAGTTCCTCCAGCATCATCTTCAACCACATCACTTCTTTACTGACTTGTGTAGCTACTATATATTCTGCTTCTGTTATTAAAGTAGCCACAATTGGCTGTAGTTTTAAAACCCAGCTTACAACTTCGCCAGCAAGTACAAACACATAGCCTGTGATGGATTTGCTATTATCACGATCACCTGCATAATAAAAATTAACTTGCATAATCAAAATTAACATATCCACTGATAATAAAATCAGATCCCCCATAACATAATGCAACATTTGAGGTTCCTTGAATGTATATTAGAATCCTCTTTATAGTATTCCAATGTTTTTTACCAGGATTCGTCATATATCGACTAATTACTCCCATTGCTTGTGCAATGTCTGGACTTGTACAAATCATAGAGAACATTAAGCTTCCTACTGGTGATGCATACAGTACTCGAGATATCTCCATCTTCTCTTCTTCACTGCTAGGATTCATACTGGAGGATAACTTAAAATTAACAGGAAGTGAGATAGAAATTGATTTACAATCTTGCATGTTAAAGCGCCATAAGATTTTCTTTAAATAGTTCTTCTGAGAAAGCCAAATCTTCCTATTAACTCTGTCTCGGTAAATTTGCATCCCTAGAATCCTGTTTGTAGATCCTAAATTCTTCATTTTAAATTTCTCTAGCCAACTGAGTCTTTAATTCTTTGATATGATCTTTGTTAGGGTCTGCAACCAACATGTCGTCAATATACAATAATAAGATAACAAAGTTATTTTCACCAAACCTCTTGAAATAAGCACAAGGGTCTGAATTAAGTTTGTTATATCCAAGGCTCATGATGAATGAATCAAATCTCTTGTACCAACACCTCGGCGCTTGCTTTAGACCGTACAGAGATTTGTTCAATCTGCAAACTAAGTTTTCTCTTTCTTTTTCTTCAAAACCTTCTGGTTAGAGCATGTAAATTTCTTCTTCAAGATCTTCATGAAGAAATACTATTTTCACATCTAGCTGCTCTAGATGTAAGCCAAATGTAGCGCTCATAACCAAGACTATTCGAACTGTTGTAAGTCGAACTACAAGAGAAAATATTTTATTAAAATCAATACATTCTTTCTGAGCATATCTTTTACCACCAATCTAGCATGATATCACTCCACTTGATCATCGCCATTTTGCTTGAACTTGTAGACCTATTTGTTTCCAATGGTCTTTCTTCCTTGTGGGAGTGACGCAAGTTCCCAAGTCTTGTTCTTATGGAGAGCTTCAATTTCTTCCTGCATTGCTGTTATCTACAAAGATGCATCTGTACCATTTATAGTTTCGTTAAAAGTTGATGGTTCTCCATCTTCTGTTAGAAGACGGTATGCAACATTACTCTCTGTAATATACAAAGAGTACCAAGTCGGTGGCTTTCTCTCACGAGTTGACCTTCGAGCTTCTGGAGCCTCAGACTCGACTAGTTCTTGTACATCATGCTCCGGTGTTGTTTCAGAAGAATTCAGATCATCTTCTACCTGAACAGCTACAGTCTCTAAGTCCTTCCTTGAACTGCTTTCTTTTTTACTACTTTGTAGTTGATTTTCTACAAAGATAACATATCTACTGATGATAACCTTACGGGCAGTGGGATCCCACTGGTAATACCCTAAGCATATATATTTTCTGGATTTTGATTCTAACTTTGTAATTTCTTGGGCATTGTACATTATGTACACTGGACTTCCAAATATATGGAGGTTAGAATAATCAACTGGCTTGCCAGTCTACATCTCCATTGGCATTTTTAATTGTACTGTAGTTGATGGAGGTCGATTTACCACATAACAGACGGTTTTTACTGCTTTCGCCCAAAAGACTTTATCTAGATTTGCAGTTACCAACATAGCTAGCTCTTGTTCTTTCCAACAGAGTTCTGTTCATCCACTCCACCACTCTATTTTGTTGAGGAGTATAAACATTACTGAATTATCTTTTGATGCCTTCTTGCTTGCAGAATGCTAGGAATTCACCGCCTGTGTATTCTCCTCCATTATCTGACCTCAAGCACTTGATCTTCTTCTCAGATTCAAGCTCGACCCGCGCTTTGTTGGCTTTAAAAATTGAGAATACACCCGCATTCTTCTTGATAGGATACATCCAATATCTCTTGTAGTAGTCATCAATAAAAGACACAAAATAGTTTACTCCTCCTAAGGATGTAACCGGTGCTTTCCATACATCAGAATGAACCTGTTCCTGAATAGCCTTGCCTCTAGAACTCGATATGTTGAACTTTAACTGATACTGCTTAATTGTAACATAATACTCATAGAATAGAAGAGCTACCGAATTAAGTCCAGGAAGCAGCTTCTGATCGGAGAGAATCTTCAAGCCTTATTCTGACATGTGGCCTAGCTAGTTTACGATGCCACATCATGGTTTGTTCTTCTCCTTGGCTGGTTGACGCCACACATTAATTAGCTTCCTGCAGAGTCTTTCCCTTGAGCATGTACATATTTCCAGCTATCTTTTATCCTTTTATGATAACAAGCGCCCCTCTAACAATCTTCATGATCCTATTTTCTATATGAGTCTTGCACCCGAACTTATCTAATTGTCCTAAAGATAATAGATTCTTCTTCAAGCCCTTCACATGTCGTACATCTTGAATAGTACGTATTGTACCATCAAATATTTTGATTTTGATAGTGCCAATACCAGAAATTTCCAAGGTATGATCATTTCCCATGAATACAGATCCTCTTGAGATAGGTTCATATTTGTGAAACCATTCTCTCCTGGAGGTCATGTGTCAGGAGTCTGCTAAATCTAGAAGCCAAACATCAGCAAACCGTTTTTTGCCTTTATCAACAGTGGTTGATCAACTGAATAGAATTTCACCATCGTCTGATATGCTGACAACACATCCTTGAGATGTTAATGGCTCTGAAGCCTTTTTACCTCCACTCTTCTTATTGTGCCAACACCTAGATTTGATATGCCCTCTTTTGTCACAGTTGTAGCATTTGATATTCTTCTTACTTCTTGATTTGGATCTACCATGGGTATGACTCCCACTGGAGCCACGTTCTGTTGATCTTTCTCTCGTCACCGATAAGACCTCCACTTGTTGATAGCTTTGTTAGAGTATCCCAGATCTCCTTTGCTATCTTCTTTTCTTCTATGCTTGACAGCACTCTATTTGCTAATGCCAGATGGAAATTTACAATAGCATTTTCGTCCATCTCATTCCACTTCTTATCATCTGTGATGTCGACCGGCCTTGCACCGATGACCGCTAGACAATTATCTTTTCTAAAGATAGCATTTATCTTTAACTTCCACAGAGAGGAATTACTCCCGTCAAATTTCTCGTTCTTGAACTTCGTCGTCATTGCTTCTACTACGAACAATAACTTCTTACTATTTTAAGTAAATAGTAACTGTATTTATGAACGATAACCTTATTCGTGAATAGTACCATAATTGTGAATAGTATCGTACTTATGAACAGTACCGTACTCGTGAATAGTACTGTCACCTTCAAAGGGTAAATGATAACCTAATTAACTTATTTTCTGATGTGGATGATCCACCTTTGGTGGCAGCCACAGAGCATACGATAAGTAGATATATACAAGCACCCTAAGTTGGCTCTGATACCACTTGTTAGGATAAATCCGAGGCCCAATAGAGCATGATCGCATCAAT